ATAATCGAAAACGCTATTAACGTTGATTTGTTGGTTCTAAAAGTAAGAGCCAATCATGTTCGATTGCTACCAAGCGATTTGTTCTGCTGAACGCGCCCAATGAACGTGTTTCGTCGTACATTTTTTTATGTATGTATTGCCATCTAGCGGTGACGCGTCACATTATGTTATAGAGCTCAATGGTAAAGAGTAGTAAAGCGATACCCATTTAGTATATTCCAGGGAACAGAAGAGCGAGTGGTATTTGCCAAGAGGTTAGAAATTATGGCAGCCGGTCCGATTGCAGAGCGTAATCAAGGTATATTTCAATTTTTTAATTTAAATAATACGTTATTTTAACTTATGTTTATATTTTACTTTAATGTTATGTTTAAAAAAGAAATTTAATTGATGCTTTTCTGTTATTATATTAAAAAGTAGATATAATATATGATTGTGGTTACTTTAAACAGTTAAGAGATATTTGCATTTATCACAGATATATGCATATGTAGCAAACATAATAAATTATTACAAACATAATAAATATTATATATATCATATCTTTAATATAAAAACTAATAAACATTTGTAGATGCAACAATATACGTTGGAGGTTTGGATGACAAAGTCACTGAATCTCTTATGTGGGAACTATTTGTTCAATCAGGTCCTGTTGGTAAGCATATTTATGTGTTATTCATATATGATATATGCACAGTTTTAAATATACATACTTTCTAATATATATTTTATATATGTATAACTAAAACATATAATGTAAACTCAGTTCTATAATTAATCGAGATAAAAAATAGATATATGCATGTCTAAATTTCTCAAGATTTTGAAATATATCTAACATAATCTTGTTTTAGTTAATGTGCACATGCCAAAAGATAGGGTAACTCAAATGCATCAAGGATACGGTTTTGTTGAATTTATGGGAGAAGAAGATGCAGATTATGCTATCAAAATCATGAATATGATCAAGCTGTATGGCAAACCTATTCGAGTAAACAAAGCTAGTGCACATCAGAAGAACTTGGATGTTGGAGCAAATATATTTATAGGAAATCTGGATCCAGAAGTAGATGAAAAATTGTTGTACGATACATTCAGCGCATTTGGTGTAATTTTGCAAACACCCAAGGTATGTATTATTTATTTTATTAAAATGAATCATTCTGGAGACTATAAAGATTTTGTAATCTAGTTATCTATTATATTGATTCTTTTTAACTATCACTAATATTGTGAAATGGTTATAGATAATGAGAGATCCTGAGACAGGCAATTCGAAAGGCTTTGCTTTTATCAACTTTGCTTCTTTTGACGCCTCGGATGCCAGCATCGAGGCCATGAATGGACAGTATTTATGCAATCGTCCCATCTCAGTATCATACGCTTTCAAGCGTGATGCTAAAGGCGAAAGGCACGGCAGTGCGGCAGAAAGACTTCTCGCTGCGCAAAACCCTCTAAGTCAAGCAGATAGGCCGCATCAGCTGTTCGCAGACGCACCACCGCTGGCACCACCGCCAATGCCGAATTCGAATGCAAACGCTCATCAGCCTCCACATCATCCTCAGCATCATGTGATGCATCACGGAATGGTTGTACCACCGCCGCCGCCACCATCGACTCCAGGACCACCGCTCGGCCATCCGCCTCCGCCACCTGTGCCGCCACCACCATCGGGTGGATTTCCGCCGGCAAACATTCCCCCGCCTCCTCTGCCTCCGATGTCCATGGCCGCGCATCCTCCTCTACCACCTGGTATGCCGCCGCCATTGCCGCCGATGCCTGTACCGAATTCTCAAGCGCAGTCAGCCTCCAGGATGATGGCACCGCCACCACCTCATTGGGCCGTAGGAGCACCGCCGCAAGGACAGTTTCCACCGCCCCCGCCGCCGTCTGCCGGTGGACCCCGCAATTCGGACAGTTCCAGCCGCCGCCGCCAAGACCACCTCCGGCTTGGCGGCATCCGCCACCACCACCTGTTTCACAGGGTGGTCCACCGCCGCCGCCTCCGCCTCAATTCCGACCACCTTTCCCGCCAAGAGGACCGCCGCCACCGCCACCCCCGCATGATGGCAGTCAATATTAATGTTTGTATCTTATATTTTTATATCATATGAATAATGTTTGGCAAATATTTGATATAATACAACATTTTGTTTTACAACAAATTCATGTCGATAAATCTATTACTAGCAAGAGAATAAACGACAGAAATTAGCCGTATTTGTAAAACGATTCTTTATTGTATTTAAGTAAACTTTTGTAACTATTCATTGTGTATTGATTACAGGTTGCGTAATTAATTGAAATATTATCTTAACTGATTAGTTATAGTGATGCTTTCGGCACTAATGATGCGGTTACCCCCGGTTACTTTTTCTATTGATTGGCCATGCGTGAATAACGTACTACGTTTATTCTATTGATTATTTCGTCTCTGTCCAGCCTAGTCAATGATAGCGCTAGTCGAACACAGAGTCTACTGTTGAACACCGTTCTTGAAAACCGTTACCGCACTGCGCATTAAACAGTTTCTTAAATTTGTTACATTAAACATTTGAGTGATCGGTTTTTCTAGGTGAGTTATTAAGAAAATTTACGTGCGATATACATCACGTTGCCAAGTGTCGCAACGTTAATTTGGTAAGTAAAATAAAGAGGTGTTCGAGCAAAAAACCAATCAATTTATTATTTACTTTGCACATTCCAATAATGTTTTTTTTATTTTAGATTGTTCACGATCGACGCAATGTTCTTTCATCGATCTGTTGACGCACGTTCGCCGACTCGTTGAATACGCTCGGACGTTTTATTATAAAAACATAAGCAATCGCCGATAAAGCGATAAATTTTTAACGATCTTGTATGCATGACGGTGAGAATTATGCGAACATCACGAGATAGATATGGCACGATTGTTACGCGAATGTAACAACTTCCAACTTAAAAATAACAACGAGAGCGAAGCGCTCAAGCCGTACGCGTGCACACCCAAGTATTGTCTGTATTGCTGTTGTAACTCGCAGTGTTGCTTCGTAGTGCAACGGCGACCACCACGTCATCTTTGGGAAGCCTGGTACTTTTGGCTAGGCGTTGCTTTGGTCGCTGTTTTTGTCATTTGTTCGGTGAGCATATCCGAAATATATCGAGTTTGCAGAGTATTCTATACGCAATATAATAATACAGAATGCATCATAGTATCATACTCTTTTTTTTAAATAGAATATTTAGAAACATCTTTAGAATCACAATCTGTGTGCCGGCAAAACAAGACAAGTTTTAAAATTTTTATTGTATTATCTAGAATGAATCGTGCTAAGAAAATTTCTGATTCATTTTGAAACTAGGTGAGCAGCTACATAGTCAATAATTACAGACATAACATTCAAGGTATTCGATTCCGACAAAATGTCAACGGTAACGGACGGGAGTTGAATCAATTGAGAACCAATCAGGACCAAATATCTGTTAGCATAATTTCCACGACGGGAATGTTTTCGTCTCAAAAAAAGATGTTGGTCGTTGGCGCGCAGCCGAACGTCACGCACATGAGTAAGAGAGAGCAGCGTCTTCCTCATTTAGCATTAATCTATAGTGATTTGCATATAGTATTGGATTGTGTAATAATTTCGGAATTTTCAAAACGTATTGAAAAATTTGAAATTACTTATTACACAAACCCAATATATTTGAGTGACGTTAGCAAATCTAAATTAACAATGAAAAAGTGTTGAAATGCTTATAATCTTATTACGCATATTTAATTGCTCAATCGTAAACTTGCAATTTTTACAACTATCTTACGCATTTATGTATTACTGAAACATAGAAATTATTGATTTACATTTCAGCACCCGTCGTGGCATAATAAATGTTACTTGGCGTGACACATCGCCACGATCGACTGGGAAATGTGACGCTAAACTTATGTCTGCTTTAAACCGTCTACGTGGTAATCTACGGTATATAATTTTTGTATCTTGTCTTTCTTTGCCTGCGAGTCACGTTATTATAGACACAACATTGATTCAAGCATATCTCTTTACTTTATTCTTATGCTCGACAATCGATAGCAGTGATACTGCTGTCATTTAGAACCGGGTAGCCGATTATCTCAGGTATTACCCGACTACCCGGGTACCCGGGTACCCGGGTATTCAAAATATAATAATTACATACACGATTGCATTGTGATTACATTACTAATACAAAATTATCGCATATAATTACATATAAAAAAAATAAATTATAACTTTTTATGTTATTTTTTACATGTAATGCGATTATGTGCGATAATTTTGTATTAGCAATGCAATTACAATGCAATACGTGTGTGTAATTATCATATTTTGAATATCCGCGTACGCGAATAGCCGTGTATTGACAGCACTAAGCAGTAATGCGAACGTGAATAATTTCCAATAAAAATGAGAATATAGATTTTTTATCAGAAACTTCAAAAGTATTAGTTTTAAACCTAAAAAATGTTAGATAAATCTCTGATAGAATTTAATATAGAAAAGTCATATTTTAAAACTCGCGCCACACAGAATGACTCGCAGGGTTGTATCTTCTAAATTTTGTTCCCCTAATATCTAGAACTTTGTCTATTGTTAGTTACAAAATTTGAATTTGCAACTTGGTTCAGTACGGTCCCTTCTTTTTACGAAAGTACGCGAAGTAGTTCCGCGACAAGTTTAACTATGATCATTTCAAAGGGGTAATTATCGTTTCCAGTCATTGATTGCCGTAATCATCTTTTCCATTAACTTTGATGAAAGTAGCGCGGTGTTTCAAGCGGGCTCGTTCACGTCGCCGACAATAATCTGCCGCTCGAATTCACGTAAGATGTAATGCCGCGGCGACGCGCAGCTTGCGCGTACATGTGTGAAGGTAGCGACGTTCTTTCTCGAAGCCATTACGAGAGAATTACAGGCTTCACGAACCGCTCTCGTCGCATCTCACAGTGATTTCGTGAGATCGCGTCGATCAATTTAAACGATTAACGCATATTCTCTCGAGCAACATTTCACCAGTCACCGGTACAGCGGATGGCGATAACCAGGATAACGATATAGCCGCGTTCTTTAGTCCTAAGTTCCCCTCGCATACCCGTGGAATAACCTGCTCGAAACCCGTTCTTCGCGTCGACCCGACCGGGCGCAATTCTCGCCGACAATTAAGAGGACATGCTCTTGTCCGCATGATCGTTGTGTTTGAGCGGAGAGGACGAGAATGCAGAAGTTAATTAAAACGGACAATCCCGCTCGCAGCGACGATTCTCCCTTTCCCTCACGTAAGCAGCGCTTCATTTCCAATCTTTTTAATGAACATTTTTAGCGTCTACGCAAATAATAACTCTGCATTATTTATTTAATTTATTGTTTTTTAAAATATTTTATGTTAATAATCAATGTATTATTAACATCGAATATTAAAATAATAACATGGGTATTGTTTTATTTTAAAGCACAAACATTTAATCTACTTTTACTCTTTTTTCCTTAATTTCTCCTGTTCCTATTTTTATTTCAGAGTTAAACTCACAACATGAATAAAAGATATGATCTTTGTACGAAGTCGCAAATGAAAAGAAACTACTATTTCCATCCAATCAAAAATACCGCAGTGGAAAATAAGTTTTTCCTCGCAATAAAAGCAAGATAACCGCGTATGCATGTGTTCACGCGCGAGAAACGTATGTTATTCATATAGCAACCGTAGCAACCGTTGCAAATCGATGTATGAAGATCCAAAATAAGCATGATGCGACTATTTGCTTTTGGAATTTGCAGATTTATGGATTTTCCGCTTTTTTACGTAAGTAAATTATAATACATTCGCGGATGTATCCGCTTTATTAGCAAAAAATTGATGAAACATTTTTTAATAATATACTTTGCAACAATATAAATCATGTGGTTGACATTACTCGCATTTGTTTGAATCGTGTAGCAAAAGATACGATCGACACAAGTTAACGACTTTATACTGTGCGGAAAACAGTAAAGCGCAGATTATTGACAAAACAATTGTAATTGTCGTGCAATGTACTTTCCCAATTTAATAAAGTCGGCTAAATATTTATCTATAAGATTTTAAAACCAAATTTCGATTTCTTAGATTTTTTTAAATGTTATTATTAGAATTATCAACATAAATCGTTGTATTCTTTTGTAAAATATTAAGAAAAAAATGTTTATATCGCGATTTATCTCACACACTCTACTTAGCAGACTTAGTCGATCTACGTACTGAAAAGATGATTGACCAAACTACATTTCGGTAAATTACTCATACATGAAAGAAAGCCTTGTAATCCCTCCTCTCTTAGAAATCTTTTTACCGTGGACACTCGATCCGTTCGCGCAGCAAGAAATGATCGAAGAGTGGACTGTTAAAGCCTGTGACGCGACCTCGTTAAACTGTAACCAAGTGTCATTCCGATAACCCAACTCGCTTTTACTTTACTCTCGAGATTGATAAAGAAATATGCAACAAGCGGGCGACTCTGGTTAATGTTGCATGCACAGAAAACCAAGCAAGAGAATCCAACTGCCGTCTGCTGCACTTGAAAAGTTAATAACTACGCGATTGAGTCATTGAATGCCAGTCAAATGAAAAGCATCTCATATTACGCTGCTGGCGAAATATCGCCGTTCAACTGATCTGTAACGATTATATCTATAGCGGTTCATAATATTAAAATACCGAAGAAAAAATTTGAAGAATTTAAATTATAAAATTGTTTTATTGCTTAAACTGCAGAATTTTTGAAAGGTTTTTTATGAAATGTCGTGTTTATAAAAATCAAAAATATATTTTGATTTGTTAATAATCTTTCGTTTTTTAAGTCCTGTATTTTGTTTTTTTTTTTAATTTTGCTGAGAACGATATAATGCTGAATGAAGCGCCCGTGTAAGCAATAAAAATATCTTTTTGTGAAAAAGATGAAAACGCGCTACACTGTCGTATCTTCGATTCTTCCGCTAACGAGAACTCCGACTCCAGGCAGTCGGCACCGTTTCGTGAAAAGCGTCTTTATAGTCTCGCTATCAGACGCCGTCAAAAGCTTCGTTACGTCCGAACTGTCGTCGACGGGACACACGTGTCTCGGAATATATAAAAACATAGGCGAGGGGGAGTCAGGCGTGTTGTTCTTTCAATAAATCGGCCAACTTTAAGAGCGTACCAACTTCTATCGTGACACCCGCGAGAAAGGCCGTTTGCGCCGAAAACACTGGAATAAATCGGCCGCGGCTGGAGTAGCTGAACTCGCGGCCGCGTATAAATGCCCGCCGATGACGGAATTAAAATAGATGTAGTAGTAAATTGTCGAACCGGACGACCGTGATGCGACGCGACGCGACGCAGCACGGCGCTATACGGCGCGACGTTCTTTTAGTGGGAGGTGCTAAAATTGGAGGTGCCTACGTAAGTAGCCGCGTACAACCTCTTCCCTCGGACATTTCCAAATAGTCGTTTCAACCGATGAGACGCGAATCACAGTCATATTCCATCGGCACTCGAGAATCATTACAATTATGGCCCGCGGTCGCTTCAGCGAACGCCGAGTGATAAACGGTATTACAATCTGATAAGCGCTTCCGCGATCACTTCGGCGAACGCGAAGTGATAAGTACAGTATTGAGTGATAAACGATAAATATCCGATAAACTTCCGTGTAATTCGGCAAGCGGAAGAAAGAAATGCACACTCGTCGATCGATAATCAGTCGATCGTTAGCCGGATACGTCGTCGCGGTGTGCGTCGTGTCGCTGTCAACGAGTCTCGCGCAAGTCGAAGGTAAGCGAGGCCCGCTTATCGCCGGCCACCGCCGACTTTTCTAATTGGCAAAGGACGCTCGTTAGCGAAACGTTCGGAGAAGAGTCGTTAATTAAACATTTTTTCCCATAAATATATGTAGCGAATATATCTAGCTCACTTAATTTATTCCAACAAATTAATAGTATCGTTAAAAATTGCTCAGTTTTATTTTTGTAAACTGCTTCTGTTCACAAGACTTGTTATTTTTCATGAATTAGCAATTTGTCTTTACAATACATAAAATATTATGAACATGAAACTCTTACTTGTAACTGTCTCATTTTAATTGTTCGTTACATGCAAGATTACGTTTTATAGGAAGAAAATGCGTGTGCACGAACAAGGCTTGTAAAGAAGCTGGAGTGGAAATCTGTAGAACGAAATTCTTTTGTTACACCGAACTTATTCTGACGAGTCAAGAAATTGGCGAAAGCACGACTACAAGAGGATGTACAGAGTGTGTATAACATAAATTACATTTAATATTTATTGGAAATTGCATTTACGCAGACAACCAGCTTTCTGATGTAATATAACGTTTGAATCGTTTATCTTCTGATTTTCTGATAAGAAGCTTTTTATTTAATATCTTTTAAATGCTAAAGTGTTAAGGCAAGGTGTTATGTCTCTTCGCAAACAGGATTTAATTCGTTGCGTTGTACAAATTCGATTAACGCCATAATATAAATTCAGGAATGCGCAAGTAACCTTGACGAGATAATCGAACGAAAAAGTTTCTGCGAACTTTGTTAAATGTCTCATTAATATTACCATCATGATCGCCGTCCTAAAAGCTGTGATCACGCAGAAGTTCGACAAAATCCGAATTGTAATATGCTAATGCGGCTAGTATTGTTTTTTTCCGGATTTTTGCAGAAGAATCGTCCGATTAGACAAGAATTCGTATTAATTTGTTCAATTCAAAAAATCAGTAAAAGAAGGTGTCGTACAAATTTTATGAATATTATAACGCGGCTAATTTCTCCAACAAATCTATCATTCGGTGTTGAGAATCAATAATTGAACTGAAAAAAATAGTTGCCGCCTATTGTACAGTTATTTCTATTGAGCAAGTTCATTAATTAATCGTTCGTAATTTTGTGCATGCAGGGTCGCCAGGCCGTTATTGTGCGAAACAAAATCCTGGATCACAGGGTCGCGATTGGTCAACTCTGTGGAACCGTCGACGAGTTCCCAGGTTCTCGTGCCCTGGCCCAGGTTGAAATGCTGCGATAGCCACGACTACTGCAACGCCGACAGTGACGAGGAGAACACGAGTACGTGGACACGCGAGAGAAAGCCTCAGATGGATCAGGCACGTTCCACGGTGGACCGCGAGACGCCGGGGAATCCAGCATCGACGAGTCGTGACGCAATACAGACGATGCAACCTGATCGGAAGTCCGAGGATCAAGCGGAATCGGCCGACCGACTCCTTCGAAATCGCGTCAGGGCGCTGCACGTTGCCGCCCTCATCCTTGCCTTTGCGGCCCTCATATCCGTCCTGGCGTCTTGTTACGTAGTCACACGGTAACTACGCACATTTTTTTATCTTATTTACTCACGTACATAAATCAGTCATTTATTTGACTTTAGATTACCTGCTGTGAAAGAAAATATCGAGTTCTGTCGTTACATACTTTTTTCAAGCTTACACTCAACTATACGAAAAGAAATATTAAATATAAGATTTAAAATAATAAATATATGAAAAAGGATTCTCGTAACAACATAAAATAAGAAATATTATCGTCGAAATATCGTCGTGCGCAAAGAAACGCCATAAGGTTTCATACTACGGCTAATTAACATTGGATATATATATATATAATTAACGCTCGGGAAAGATAAATCTACTCAAAAGCAGCCTTGGTAGCGCAGGGACCACCCTATGTCACAGATCATGAGCATCGAGGCCACATGGCGAGTGTTCACGCTTATAGCAGCCACCTACACAGTGCAGGACTCGTTTTTCCCACGTGGGAAACGGCAGACCATTTCGCGAGAGATTTCTCGAATAGAGTAAATCTCCACAATGCACCTTCCATTAATGTCAATTTACGTATATCATGCTTCTCAATTACGGTGTTATTAAATATAGTAGTACTTGCTTTTTAATAAAACAACAGATATCAAGTCTGAATACATAAGTAAATACAAATACATACGCGCGCCAACATATTTATGACTTTCGCCTTTATATATTTATAACCGTCTTCTATCTAATTGACAGCATTCCTGCATTTTAGGCTCATTTCTTATTATCTGCTCGGTTCCTTTTTTCCTTTCCTCCTACTCGACCGCACTTCCCCGCGGTGGTTTGTCGCGATATGCTAAAAGCCGCCCTCTTATCAGTCCACCTCTCGACGAGGGGTCCTATCCTCAGCCTCCGGATCCCGAAAGGCATAAGATAGCACAACTTGAAGATACCCACAGACCTACCCTCTAATCTTCGTTCTCCGAATGGCTAAGTGGGTTTTCGAGTTCGGGAATGTCTCGGTTCGACCCATCCTGTATACACCTTAGCGAAGCGCGTCGTTAGCCTCTCATTCTTTTTATCTCGAAATGGACGGCATCGCGGTATGGCTCTACGGTGCGCCCCGTCGATTTCTTCGCATTTCACAGCGATAAAAGCGACTGAAAACTTTAAGCTATTTCCTTCTTGAAAAAAAAAAAAAGAACAATTTGCCACAATCTGTAATCAATTCTTTATAAACACATTGCAAACTTAACTGGCACTTTTCGCATAAATATAACACCGATCAAATGCGATATAAAATAAAATATAAAATAATTAACTTACTTATATTATTTAAAAATAATGATCACCTCTAATAAAATTCACGTCTGTTCAATTTAAGAACATGATAGGACGCTGACAACATCTTATTAACATACATCAATAGTTAATGACGAACATCGACTTCTTTTCTATTTATCGTGACATTCAAATGTAAATTTAAACTCATCCAAAATTCCAGCATTATTGTTCTCAGGTCGACAGAGATATCGACTCTGTGTGATTCTATCGAGTATCACTAAGAGTACATGCGTAATTGATTCCTTTGACTGCTGTAACGTTAACGATCGTTTCAGTTCCGCACGTTTTACGTCAAAGAATTGTTTTCCCTCGCATCGTTCACGGTTTCTAATCCTTGTCAGGCATATCCGAATGAGCCTCCAGGGAGTCGGGGCGAAATCCGGTTTTAAGTGGACCGACATGATGCGCGTCGAATCGATTTTTGATCGCGATTTATACGCAGGAAGCTCGGGATGAATCGACGTGATGATACCGAATTCGTATTTAATCATTCGCATTTATTTCTTTCTTATCAGGCATACATCATAAACCATGCACGCCAATTTTTTAATATAAATGCTGCGAGGAATAATAACAATTTTAATGATAAATACTTCTATTATAGATTCCTGAGAAGCAATCGTTATACGATGGGCGCTGTAAGCTACTGAATATAATTGCCGAAACTTAGGTATATTATAATTATTGTAGGACAATTGCGCTTCTTCCTCCAGCGGGATAAATTAAGACATAGGTAAAGTATTGTGGCTGTTATGTCACAAAATTTTATAAATATAAATACTTACAGAATTGTAGCGTTGCACAATGCAACAAGATAATATCTCTCGTTCGCGTCAGATCGGTCTTACGCACGCGTTTGTTCGCGCTCGTGGATATAATTCTCGCCTTGATCGTATGCCACTGATCGACTAACGAACGGAAAATATAAATAGAAGCCGGCCGTGCGGGAGATAACTGCCGCCGACAGGTCGGCCGAGTCTGTATTAAGGCGATTTTTTGTTACACTCTCGTTGGATAGCTTTCAAGTTCCAGCAGTAGCGCCGGCACGGCTGTCGGATTGCGAGCGCGATTGAATATCGCATGCTAATAATATTATCTCAGCGGACACACACTCCGCACCTATTAATCCTTACCAGTCCAAGTGATATAACCGTAACATCGATTTTGAAAAGCTTGAAATTGCAAACCCAGCTGTTAACTTTATTCGCCGATACATGATATTTATAAAGCATGTGCTTGGAAAAAATTGCCGTAACTATTTGCGCATTTTTAAGCTTTACATCGTTTAACTTTGTACCACGCTTTACAAAAGAGACCTTTGTTGATGCCATTTGAAATTATGCATGCGCGCCGAGTAACGAGACTTGGTTTATCTTTATTTAGGAATAACTGGGGAGGTCCCAGAAAAGCCACGTCACTCACGATGGGTGACTCCGAGATGCTCGACGTATGCGTATTTGACGAAGCTTCCCGAAGAATAAACCATCACGCTAGCATCCTTTGTTCTACATCGTCTGCCTAACGACGGGCCATGTAGCTCAAATTTCTTCACCGCTATCGAGCAAGCCCCTCGAGGGGCGTTCGGTATACCAGGTGCCTCGGCCGTTTCAACGTAATTAGTCATCCTCCAGGTTGCTGAGCACACATGCACACGCATCCTGCCGATCAAATGAATAACGGCGGAGAAATAATGCACGCGCGCGCCGAAAACCTTACGTCCGAAACGCCGCATCATCGTGAAAAAAAAGATTCCATCTAACATAAATAAAACAACGAGGAGGAAGACGTCGTGACACCCGTGAGTATAGTGAATTCTCTGTGAGAGTAATGTAATCAATGTGAGGTTTTAAATGTGCGCTTGTCACTGAAGCATATAGATAGAGATGTCAGAAATTCGCTGTCCAAATCTTATCTATGGAACGCCAAGAATGCGGGCTTGAATTTCAATTCTTTAAATAGATACATAAAAAATTATATATAATTGAGAATTGAAATACATTGCGTATATCGATTTTACACAGTGATTTTGCAAACAGTAAAATATAATATTACACTATTGATAACTTTTATCGTCATTAAAAATTAATATATAAACTAACATAAAAAATTTTATGACGTTTTAAGGGTTTTTATAACACTAAAATTAAATATATAGAAAAAAGTTATAGAAAAAAGGTTATTGTTGTACATTTAAAATATAATTTTTGAGTCTTATCTAAAAATAAAATCTAGATAGAGATATATTGTATAAGATAAATAATACATAATATATTTCTTAATAGAAATAATGTATAATTGTTTATATTAGTTCCATCCCGCTTGTGTGTCGTCCGCCTGTCGCGATTGCCAGCTGTGATCTGACGCCTAAAATAAGACGGCGAAATTGTGTTTGACTATTTTGCGCCTGATGCAACTAGCAGCAGATCCATCACGCTGTCATTGCTAAACTGCGTTTACACTTAAGCCCTTTCGTTTAAGGACGATGTATTACCACGATGGAAATAAGCCAAAGCGGCCGTGTGTTTAACGCGGTGCCGCGGAACGGATAGCTAATTGCCTCTGTTTAAACGGTAATGTACGAATCGCTATTTAAAGTTTCGTGTTCGTAAACGGGAAGCAATAATAAGATATGTATTATGGTAGAAAAAGGTGGCCTGTCACTGTGTCGCCGAAAACGGCTGAGACTCAACGGGAAAAAGCAGGCAAAGACGCGTCGCGTCGCACCACTTTGGCGTCGGGAGTCAGGCGCCACCGCTCCCTTCCGCTCCGCAGTTCTCACCGACTTTCTGCCGACAGACTGCACGCACACTGTTTCACAGTGTCGGCTGATCGGACGTTCGTGTGTACAGCTCACATCGTTAATGTAAGTAGCGCGCCGTGTGTGCTCTTTGGAAAATAATCGAATTCCGGTATTCCGCGTCAGCGACGATTATCTCAATATGCGAAACGGATACGTGTAATAAACTCTCCCCTTCTCTCATGAACGAAAAACTCGTTTCGTATATGAAACTTCCATGTATATATTTCGTAATAGTCGAAAGCTTTTGCGTTTAAAAGCGCGAATAATAATATATCAAATTTTCACGAGGGAGAACGCGCTTTGACACGCGGCAGGAAAATGTCTGTACAATCGCGCTGTAGATTTGCATAATTGACAGAATTGCAAAATAAATATAATATCGTACCAACGGAAAATTTGCTTCCGTAGAAAAATAAACAGAGTAATTTTTACTTATAGTCTGCTTTACCGCAATAACAACTTTAAAGTTACTTTCACCCGAGAATAAGTTTCTTTTTTGTGTCAATCTGTTGTGTGGCAAGTTGAGCGACCTGCATAGTAACCAAGTAAATACTGTGCATCGCAGGATCGGCGGTAGCGGCGGAGCGGTGGCATACGGAGCGGCAGGCGGCAGCTTTCGTTTAAAAACTATTCGAGGCGAGTGCTCCCCCGACGCCGGGTGCCTGCTGGCTGGCTGACTGGCTCCGAGCGGCCGGCGCGACCAAGTGAGTCAGTCAGTCGTCGGACAGCGCCGTGCTTGGTACGTTCGTGTCGGCGCCTGTCCGCTTTCGAACCTCTCGCGCGTGCTTCTCTCGAGCCGATCGCATTCGCGTTGTACGCGATGCGATAATCAAGCGAGTAAAAGCGGTCCATTGATCGTGACGATTTTCAGCGATGCTCCGGACGCTTTGATCCACGCGGGAAAAAAAAACACATGCCTGATCCTTGGAAGATCATCATCGTTCTGACGACGAACACGACGACGAACACGACGACGCTGTGCCACCGCCGGGATTTGCGGCGCTTTTGATATTCATTGATTCAACCGACTGTTCGGGATGTTGCCGCACAACGTTCTCATCCTCGCGAAGGTGATGATAAGTCTCATCGCCATCGTCGCCAACGGCGCGCCTGCGAATTTAGATTTGGAGGATTATCAGAAGATGCTCGACGAGGAGCAATCCATCGATAAAGGTAACGTGTCTGCTAGAAATAAACGGAACGATGTGCAAACATCGTGCTGCAGATATGCAAACAATGTCGCATATATGTATGAAATATCACTTAAATAAGTCGCCAATGCGAAAACATGAGCGCGCGGGCAGGCGCTTGTAAGTCATATTCGTGGAAGATTATACATCTCAATCGAGCTTATTGTGTCTTCTCGCGCGACATTGTCATTCCTTTGGTATTCTCAGCTTTTGTATTCTTTTTTTTCTAGTTTTTTTATATTTCGTTCAGACCTGAAAATAAATATATTAGTGGTGAAAAATCTCAAGTTTTAAAGCACAATAAATTATTCGCCGGTAATAAATTTTTTTTTTTTTTGCGATTGTCAATCTTTTATTATTCGAATGCAAATGTGGAACATAGTGCTCTGATATGAGCACTAGGTCACTAGCAAAGGTGAGACACTTGCGTGCGAATAATCTCAGGAAACACGGCGCATACACGTGCTCGACACGCTTGTTTTGCTAATTCTCACAAATTTAGCACATCGTATCTTTTCAGGGATAATGGCTATCGTATTATCCGATTATTCGTTTGTGTGAAAGTTGTAATATAAAAATTAGAACCTCAAAATATTCAACAAATATTTACGTGACGTGATTTGAGCCAAAGATCGTACTTTCAACACATTTATTTTAAGATAAAACGTTTATTGATACCATTTGTAGCTATGATTTTTTATAATCTGTTTGCTAGAATCGTTTTCAGCTTGACAAAATGAAAAACCTCGAACTTTTACGAATACTAAATTGCTACTTTTTATATACCGAGCCACCGAAGGATGATGAGAGGTTCACGCACTTCCCGAAAATACTCGGCGCCAAGGGGTTCGCCAGTGCGATTTAGTTACAAACAAACAAAAACCATTACGCGATGGTGTAAACTATCTCGAAAGGGGGTCGATCGCTGTTCGTGGAATGCTCAGCGCGAGCAATAAAATCGTTTACTCGAGTTGAATGCGAGCGAGCGGAGCGAACGTTCGCATCGCCCGGCGCGGTGCGACGTACGAATGATTCACGATCGATCAATAGATTTATATCCGCAAAAGAGCGGCGCCTACTAGCATCACGCGAGCCGGCGGACTTGTTCAAACTTCTCACAATAAGTATTCCGTATCTATATTGCCAACAATCCCCTTAATCGGCCAAGTGAGATTGGGTAAATTTTCTGTGAGCACAGTGATTACGTATAATGCATGACCGATAATACATAATTGACGTCGTGAGCGGCATAATTTATTTACGCGTGACTCTGCTTTTGCTCTTTTCACCCAGCCGGCGAAATAATAAATATTGAAATTTCGTCGTTTAGCACGATAGCGAGTTTAGGAAGACGATAAAGTATATATGCCGGGCGCCAGCTAGGCGCGCGGATAGTAGAGTATATAATGTACCATATCTATATATGTGTACGATAGGTACCGACACGCTTGTTGCACGCGTCCGCGCGTCTTGTTTTCCTTTTCTCTTTCGATAATCCTTGAATCGAAGCGGATTTGAATATATATACTTGAATAATAGACATCGTCGCATAGATTCCGCTGAGGATCTAATTGTTAAGCAGACCTGTCAATCAAGGAAGTGAGCCGGTCGCGTTGTTTGCGCGCATTCCTCTTAAGCCGGAATAAAATTCGATTGATCGACTTGAGCGGAATGCTCTTTCGCTTTTAATTGACATACTCGAGCGCGATTCCGCGTAACTATTTCGTTGGGCGGTTATAGTTTCCCGAATGCATTTCGCATCTTCGGCAAAGCTGCAACCCTCTATATATCGCTCGAGGTCGTTAATCCGAATGCGTTCGACGAATTGCAAGTGTCGTTAAACCGTTCGCGTATAATAGCAGCATCCGATACGGACTCGCTTCTTAAATGCGCACACAAAATCGAGTGTCCATTGGCTAATTAAAGCGAACTGCAATCCCAACGGCATCGGCGCTCTATCCATTTGATGGAAATAATTATTCTCCTGCGATCTAAATTTTTAATTAATTTTTTATCCTTGCACGTGTTGCATATTGCGAAGAGCATAACACTGCTGTATTAATTTATTATGAAATTGTGTAAACCTCGAGAATAACATTTTGTTTTTGTCGGAAATGCGACCGCAAACTAGGGATGGGCGATGCTAAAAAAAATAATCTACTTTTAAATAATCGATTATCAAAAATAACTATTTTTTTATAAACGATTATATCTTGAAAACATCGATAATATTCGATTCATTTCTAATTTTTATAACAGGCTTGGTTTACACCGTTTAGTACGTATATCAAGTACTAAATCTGCTACTTTGATTGGTGTAAATTTTACACTAAACGATTTTACACTACTTATAACTAGTAAATCTAGTAAAAAATTTCGTAACATCGAGAAAAAAAATTAACGATGTTGCGATTAATCGAACATAAATACATTGGACACATAATCGTTTTCTTAATAAAAAACGCTTCGATGATCGATTAATCGAGTGATCTTTGCCCATCCCTTCCGCAAACCATGTTATTTCTATCATTTATACACTTTTCTATCGTAGATTTAAAAATTCAAAGTTGGGATAAATTTTACTAGAAAGATATTAAAGAGACTAGACTGTGATTGTGAGATATTCTCGAGCATGTAATTACGTTGATAAATTCATCGATCGGTCGAAAGCTCGGTTTAATTGGAGCTTCGATCCGCGCTGCTTCTCATTATATCGTCGTCGTTGCCGCAGCCGTTGTCTTTCGAGTGGCGAACGGCGCGACGACGACGAAAAATGCGAGCTCATCGACGCCAATGAGGAGAGCGGAGCATATGCACGCACACGCTTAGTTTATCGTTCGCATATACGCACACGTGTGCGCCTCGTAAGTACCGCGGCGCAGTGGCGGGGCTACAGCTGGCGCATGGCGTTACGCTACGTGCACACGCACACACACAACGTCAACTCGATGGCGCCTGTCGTCTACACGGATATGCATGCGTGCGTGACGAGTTTGTACCTCTTCGGCTATGTACGCTCTGTACATAAATACTCAGCGTAGCCGTGCGTACACATACGCGGTGTCCCACGAAGCAATCGCGCTATGGATTCGTAAGGATGGGCTTTATTTTGTCGAATTTTTTCGCATTTCCTTCGGAACGCCGCTGTGCTCTTCGAATCTTGTTAATCTCGATATGAATATGTAATAATTTTTTTAATTATTTTGCATAAAAAATACGGTGCGCGTTGAAGCACCGTTCGTTTTTGCGACACCCTTAATATGACTCATTACTGTGTTGTGTGTCTCTGCACTTTGCAGACAGTGGCATACGGAAATGACCGCTGTCGCACATAATCGCGAACGGTCTTGCATACGCATGTTATATAAAAAAGTGATATAAAGAAAAAAAATTTGCAATATTTTTTGATAAAGCTTCTGGCCCACGCATGAATTTATTATACAATTGTGCGTCAAACAGAATAAATCTTTTTTCGCAATAGGAAACATATTGATATCGCTAAGAGGAAGAACAGGTTTAAGCAACGTGAATTTATACTTGAAAATATTTTGGATCTATAAATCACATTTTAGTAGAAAATCTCCTCAGCATCTCTTTTATGTATCGCAACATTTATTTTAATTCTAAATTTCTATTTTCGTTTTATTTTGTACATTCCACTGTTAATTAAATAGCTTGTATCAATTAAGACGACAAAATTATGACGAGCATAAAAACATAAAGTATCAAGTAAAAATGACGCAATGAACAAAAACACTTTCGCCTTGTCGTTCGTTACGAACCGCATTCAGGTTGAGCAAAACCGACTCGACGAGTTCAAAGTTAACGACTCGTTCGATGGACGCTGATGGAAATTTTATAGCTCGTTTATTCGACGCTGAAGAAGTGTTGCTACACACGCGAGCGCCGTCGTTCGAAAATCACGTGTTCCACCTCAGTTTTGATAGTTATTTTAAAGACCGCAAAATATCTGTTTGATTTATTTGTGCTACTGCGACTGTGCGCGTGTAGGCGAGTGGCAAACATTACGAGCCATGAGATGCTAATTCATGTAATCCCGATCTCGCTCGCTACTTATTTACAGATTTACCACCACTCGCATTATTCCGAGCCGGTGAAATCACGCAGAGTCGTCCCAGGGCTGGGGTCGTACAATCGTCGGTAAAACTCGGCGCGTTCGAAAATTTTCTCGGCTCGCGCCGTTCGTTCAAGCGTTGCTTTGCGAAGCGCGAGAATCGAGAACAAGGGTAACTCTGTGGATGAGCGAGTAAACGCTGGGACGTGTTTACACGCTGGTAGCAGGATTTATATCATACAGGCGCATTTTTTACCGATGAATCAGAACCATCGTGACTAGATAAGACGACGAAAAAATATTATCTTGTTAATTAAGGAACTTTAGGTTATCTTTATTAACTTCCGGTTATCGGATAATTGATTAGGATTTCCCGCTCGCTTATCCTTCGCAACGCATGTGTATTATAAACTGAAACGTCCTGTTCACAGGACGCAAGTCGTTCGATTATCATACATATTTATCCACAGTATTGCACTTGTCTGGATTTAACATTCTATTCATGATAATGATGCTCTCCCGGTGGTCGTCTTTGTCATGCGAAAAATTATACACACGCGTTCTTCGCGGCGCCGCACACGATCACACGCATGTGATCGCATGAACGATCACGTACGCGATCTCGCTATAAATATAGCCCCGCTATTTGGAACGCATATTCCGTTTTATTGAACTTGGAATTCCGCGCGGCAGCACTCTGCCTCCAAAGCAGCTCTCTCTCTCTCTCTCTCTCTCTCTCTCTTTCTCTCTCTGTTAAATACATATGTGTTGTCGGCCGAACAAAATAATCCGCGCGATCGCCGCGTTGATATATCGGTTGCCAAAAATTTTTTCGCGACTCTCAGTGCGCGTCCGCTCGACAAGATTTCTCACGCGCGGACACGAAACTCTTCTTTTCACCCTTTGGC